CAAATATTGAGAATCAAAAACTTCCCTCGTTATTTGTTTTTTCAATGTTGGTTTTATTTAGAAAATCAAAAGAACGAATGATACACGGATTGTGGATAGCTCCGCTAGCTTCTCTACACAAACAAGTGTGTAGTGACAGGCGCTGATAGACTTGTTGTACTTGCGGAGTAATGGCAGTATTTTACACACCTGAATTACAAACAGAGATTGCATTGGGGCAGCGGTCATTATTGGTTTTAGAGTTCAGTTATCAAGAAAAAAATGATCGGAAGAATCGCATTCAAGTCAATGGAATGCTGCTGCTGTGAGGAGCTCTATAACGAATTATAATTAAATATTAGAATATATTCTAATGTTTTAAATTAATACATTTGGACGCGAAACTAGCGGTATTCTTTTACTTATATATTGTATTAGCAGTGCGTTGCTTTAGTGCCATTTCATCAGTGATTGTTGTACGGCTTACAAGTAGTTGTGCTAATGCTAATGTTAGCATATGTATCAGATCGCAAATAAAACTAGGTGGCTCCGTGGGATGAGAGCGTAGGGGAAATGAGAAGCCTGTGAGCGAGTTTGGGGGCGGGGCTAAACATTCAAACATTGCAGAAACGGGTATAGCGCCTTTAAACGTAACACTTTGTACTCACCGGTCCGCCACACATCACTGCGCCCTGTCCCATCCATAAACCACATGGTACCATCGTCCATAAACCACATGGTACCATCGTCCATAAACCACATGGTACCATCGTCCATAAACCACATGGTACCATCGTCCATAAACCACATGGTACCATCGTCCATAAACCACATGGTACCATCCTCCATAAACCACATGGTACCATCGTCCGTAAACTACATGGTATCATCCTCCATAAACCACATGGTACCATCGTCCACAAACCACATGGTACCATCCTCCATAAACCACATGGTACCATCGTCCGTAAACCACATGGTACCATCACTGGTTCTGTGCGACTCCAAACTCTTCTTTTTCCGTGTACAGTTAAACAGAGCTAATCTTGAACAGAATTGTGTCTTGCTTGATCTTGTTTACTTTATTTGTGTGTTTATATTTGATCAAATAATGTGCCTTTATTGTTCAGGAAGTATATTCTACAGGGTCCCACGATATCAAGCATGCTAATGTACAGGTGTAAACATACTGCTGCTAATGTACAGGTGTAAACATACTGCTGCTAATGTACAGGTGTAAACATACTGCTGCTAATGTACAGGTGTAAACATACTGCTGCTAACATGTACAGATATAAACATACTGCTGCTAACATGTACAGATGTAAACATACTGCTGCTAACATGTACAGATGTAAACATACTGCTGCTAACATGTACAGATGTAAACATACTGCTGCTAACATGTACAGATGTAAACATACTGCTGCTAACATGTACAGATGTAAACATACTGCTGCTAACATGTACAGATGTAAACATACTGCTGCTAACATGTACAGATGTAAACATACTGCTGCTAACATGTACAGATGTAAACATACAACTATATATGTATTGGACTAGAATATAAAGTATTCTACTCATGCCTCTGTATTATTCTTTATTATCTAAGTTAGACAGTAGCTCAGGTGGTAGAGCATTGGCCTTTAAGCCTGAAGGTCGTGGATTAGTTTCCCACCTCGACACCTTCTCCACCGACTCCCACTGAAGTCTGCCGTCGTTGTGTCCTTGGGCAAGACACTTAACCCCACTTTGCCTGAAACCCTGCTGAAAGATCTCAGCTCCTGTGGACTCACCACCTGCAGGAGGATCAGTGAGGGGCTGGTGGTCTGTGAACTGGGTGTAGCGAAGAAAATGGATGGATGGATCTAAGTTAGATATTTTATATTATTTTATTGTTAATTTATCTTGTGCTGTGTGCTCCTCAGTCCTTCTGTTCTGTAACTGTTGATGCAATACTGAAAATTCCCCGCTGTGGGATGAATAAAGGATCTCTTAATCTTAATTTTGATAATGCAACAGTTTTATAGAGGTTTTTTGTACACTCAAAGACGCTTCACATTCATTCACTTCATACACAGTAAAAATACATTTCTATTGTAGTCACAGTTGCCCTGGGGCACTCTGAAACAAATGAGGCAACCGGTAACTTCAACCCCTCTGGCCACCACCATCACCGCTGATCCAAGATGTCGTCCTACTCAAATCAGTGGCCTGTGCTCTGCAGCGTGTGTGCACCGAAATGGCGGAACTTGCCCAAATTTGGACTTTTCTCTGGTCCTACCGGTTCTGCGCAGTGGACGACCTCCCATGATGCTTTGCAGAAAATATTAACAATCACACTTGTGTGTTATTCTCATGGGCGTCCACATGGCAGCGTTTGACCAATCAGAGCCGCTGATCAGAGCCGAGCTAGAGCGGGAGGAAAATAGCTGTGTTTTTTTGCAACAAAGGTTGGGTTTAACAACAACAACAAAATTCAGGACAAGAGACACTAAAATCCCCAAAAATCCAGCCTTTTTGAAAACTGTAGGTTCTATGTCAGCTGAGGTAGAGCTGTTAAGTTTACTTTTAGTTCCAAGTATCACATTTGAAATTAGTCTTATTTAGTCTGCAGTACCGCGGCAAAGCCCCCTTAGCACATGGGTCCTTCAGCTCTAAGCTAGTAGAATCCTATCCAGATATGATACATACATGGTAAGCACCCAGTGTCCCACTTTTTGGTTTGACGCGTAGCCTCCTGTCGCTACTTCTTGATTCGATGGAACTTTTTATTTAATTCAAGTGGTTCTCGTGTATTTCAAAGGCAAATCCAAGGCTTTTGTAGCTTGGATATTTTTAAGGCGACCGTGTATCTGTGGAGGAGAAATGGGGCTCTTTAAGTGCATTGGTGTGTCCTGCATCTTCTTTAGTTGTACTTCCTGTTCCTGACGCCCCGCCCTCATGTGTCTCACCTGTGTGTCGTTAGTCATGTATTTAAACCCTGTTTAGTCCCTCACTCCTTGTTTTGTCATTGTGGTCCCAAATCAGTTTTAGTTCTTATCCTCGAGCTCTGTTTTGTAACTTTGGTGTCACTTTCTCTCTGATTTATCTTTTTATTTTGTTTTTTATAATGCGTTTTTATATGTCTTCTGGTGTGGACCTTTTACTCTTTTGTCTGAAATAAAGTATTGAATTGAATTTGAATTTAATCTGGGTTATGTTTGTATTTAAATGTATACAATTTTTGATTTTTGCATTTTGAGGTTAATTTAGTTTTGCCACGGAATGACGGAACCATTCAAGGCCCAAGCAGACTGCTCCATTTTTGTTGGTCTCCGGGAACAGGACACATCCCTCCACGTCTTTGTCTGGGCACTGCTGGACACTTGACTCCGTCCTGGGTGGTTGCTCTTTTGTCCCTGACCAGGCTTTGCTGGATATTGTTCTGCTTCCAGGGAGCCTTATGGTTTTACATACAAGTCTTAATTTTTTTGTATTTAAAAGTTTTAAACAATTCAGACTTTATGTCCGCCATCTTGGTTTGCTTCAACTGCCATGAGGTTACAAAGAGTCCAGTTCCTGCTGAATATATTCTTCATCCAGGGAGCTCTCCTGTTTCCTGCTCCCTGTTCCCAGTGAGCGAGTTCTACTCAGTAGTGGAAAACAGTATTAAACTGTGACAGGATGAACGTGTGTGTCAAACAAGAGAGCAGCGAGAGGTTGTCACTGAAAGACGAAAGCAGACGGTCAAACACATGTTGTATTTGTAGAATTCGCTAGATCCACCTGCATGTCAAATTTGGTAGCCCTGGGGTCAAAGGTCAAGCTATAATAGCCAAAAATCACTAGTCTGAAAAAGCCACCTTTAGGCATTTTTTGGCCCCAAACGTACCATTCACCACATTTTGGGTTCTAAACCCATTTTAGCTTCAAGCTAGGAGGCTGAAAATTCAGTATGTTCATCAGAAGAGCATGCCGAGCGCGTCGATACCAGCCACTTGGTCCAACTCTAAGAAAAAGGGGTGAAATTTGGACAAAAGACTGTCTTCAGCTTTAACGACTAACTGCCAACGAAAATGGAGGGAAAACTGTTAGACTCCATCGTTTAAATTTTGTGACAGCTACAAAGCTCACATTTTAGTATGTTGACCTTGGAGGACGCCTGCACCTGTGGTCCGACTAGAACCGTGCAACTCCAAGGTCAAGGGGTCAAACCAGGGTGAGAGGAGGGTCAGGCCTCTATTTCCGTTTCTTTTTGCCCATCAATTCAAAACGACTGAAGGTACGGGGCTGATTTTACTGTATGCACATGTGACGGTGGTGTATATTCATGGGCTGAAAGGACAAGTTTGTGTGACCGTTGCTTCTATCAAAAGTCAATAAAAAAAATCACTTTGAGGCCTACAGTCCATTGGGGGCCAAAATCAATGTGGAAAAGAGGCCCTAACGGAAAAAGGTTCCATTCCTTTTCTGCTCAAAAAGATGGAAAAGGAATGGAATCATACTTTGACACAATTTTTCACTATGTTGCACATTAACCTTTGCTCTTTTCAGATGTTTTGGTCCCGTTTCGTTTTGACCACCAGAAACGTAAATAGTGCCCCCTAGGTCCGTTTGACTGGAAACTTTGGAATCCTATTCCTTGTCCATAGTAACAAGGATTCATGTCAATCCGTGTATCATTCGTTCATTTGATTTTCCATTTGAAACCAACATAAGAAAAACGGATAACCACTGTTTTTTTTGTTTTTCATGCTTTAAAACAAAAACGAAAACTTGAATAACGCTCAGTTTTTTGAATTTATAATTTGTCAATTAAAAGGAAAAATTATCAAACGGATAACAAGCGTATAAACTCAGTTTTTGCGAATTTGTTTGATACGCAGAGTTACCCGGAAGTAGTTAGCTAGTTAGGCTAGCTAGGGACTCGGGAGTAGCCGGAGGATCATTTCGCTGTCTGTGGGCCGTGGGCACACACGATGGATTGCTTCGTACTTTTCCGAGAAGGCAAAAGGCTAACTCTTAGGTCAGAAGACATGACAACGGAGAAAATTTCCAACATATTTCAGGTAAGTAGCTATGCCTTAATTATTTCTTTTCACAACAACGTCGTAACTGTATAGCATGATGCTTAGCTCAGTTAGCTTAGCATAGTGTGGCTATGGCTGCTATTTGCTTGTCATCAAAATATCCTTTTCTAATACTTTTTAATGTTTGTAGGTGCAAAGAGATAGTGTCTATCTCACTGATGACAATAATGTTGCCATATTTCCACGATCCGATGGTGACTTCAACTGCTATGACATGGTCAGCCGTGCTCACTACGAAGTTCACGGTGACACTACCATAGAAAACACCACGGCCCAGCCACACTCGGACCATCCAGTGCGTTTTGCTTTTCACCGTCCTCCCAGCACCCCTGCTAGCGCATCCTCTATGACTCCACGAGCTACATCTACTAAAACTTATGTGAGGTAAGCATTAATCTTTTTTTTATAAAGTGATTGTATTTTCACATTTCAGTCACTGCTTTGGAGCCCATTGGAACAATTGTAACACACAAACATTTTATGTAAGCAGAATACAGCATTGTGTGTCAATGAGTAAAAATAATCATTTTTGTAACATTGCATTTACCTGTGGGGAATCACAACTAAACTAGAACTATAGAAAGTAGTCTTAGCATGGTCAAAACTTGATCTAAAAAGGGTTAAACTGGGTCGCAACCAGTTCTAAACCATCTCTTCTTGTCTAAAAAACTATTTGTGCCCTTAACATGTCTATTTCTATTGTTTATGTCAACTGACTGTATTTTACTTTATTTTATCAAGGAATATCTATATTGCCGAGGTAATGAGTGGAAAGTTGGAGACCAGCAAGATGGTCACCGTGCGCTTTTCAGAGTTTGAGGCTTGCGTGTCAACGATCCTCAGTAAAGTGAAAGAGGCTCTTGGTCAGCAGGAGTCAATCACATTGACTCCATTGACGCCAGGGCAATAAGATTATTGACTCCGAAGGCACTAGAGGTAAGATTGGTTACTTTTTTGTTACAGTAATCATTACATAGAGTGCATTACACATTTAATTTATAATTAAGTTCACATATAATTTACATTTATGTGCATTTTATTGTAAATATTTCATGAAAGAAAAAATCTATCGCAGGGTCAATTTTCTGGAAGCAAAATTCAAGGAAAGTTTTTGCAGTGCCAGAGGAACAAGTAGCAACACTACACGGCAGTAAAAGGAGAGGAGTAAGGTAATTGCAGTAGTCATTGTAATTTATCTTTCATTTATACATACACAATTATGTTTATATTTTTTATTTATTTAGCAGTCGAAGGGAGGAGATGGGATTTCAGGATGTCATGTCTGATATAGAGGAGATAATTGAAGCAGCGCAAGGACTGAAGGACGTTTCTAAAATGATCAAGGATTTGAGTGGTCAGGCACATGCCACCCTTACAACAACATTGACCCTATCAGAGACCGAAATAGCATCTATAAGGGCTGGATTTTCCTGTTTGATCTGCAAAGGTTTGTAAATGCTGACTACAATCTGTTGCTGTACAGGATTACAGTAAGTTAAGTCTGTTTAACACGTATTTATTTAAAGGTCCTCTGAACAAACCAGTCTTCTCAACATGCTGCAGAAGCTTCATTGGTTGCAGTAGATGTGTTGAGGAGTGGAAGCAGAGCCATGATTACTGCCCAAAGTGTCGAGCTGATGACTTGGAGAGCAGTATTCATGATGTGGCAGGACTGGATCAAGCACTCGCACCACTTGAAAAGCTGTTAGTTTCCTATTTTAAAGTGACATAGATTATTGAATGTTCAAATTACTGTTTAAAAGTGATCAATAGAAAACTAAAGCAAATAATTGAGCAAGTACATTCATATTTAATGATCATTCATTGGCACCATGTTTGTTGTCATTCTTTTATAAACCATGTTAAAGCTGCTGTTAAAATTGCACTTTTCATTGCAATGACATGTGAACTAGCTAAATTTGAATCCTGTTGGATTGTTTACATACTGTATTCAAGTTTGTTACAATACATACTGTGGTTGAGTGTTCAATAATGTTAAAAAAAGTTATACTTCAGTGTAATAAAACTATTGATGTCTTAAAAGAAATAGCCTATTTCTCAAACTTTACAAGAACAAATGTAATCACAACTTACAAGCAGGTCTAAGCAGAGTCTGAACTAGAGAACGTATGTATGATACTGTATATCACTCAGTGGTCTGAACATGATAAATATCAGAAACTACCTGAACCTCAAACACTAAATGAACTACTCCCGAGTATCACTTAAATGTCATACTAATAGTGGTCCCCATGCCACACTCAGTTACTAAAATAAGGCAATGTAAAAATGACAAAGCAGTTTTAGCACTGTGCCTTTTACTTTTGTGCTTAAATGTTTGTTTGGTACAATGTTTTAACTATTGCACAGGATAATCAAATACTTAAGCATACCTGTCTGTTACATTTATAAGATAAAACAGCGCCTCTTGAAATTGTCTGTGTTCGTAGTTAACAGCGTCATCAAACAGTACAGCGATGTCAGGAAAGGTTTGTCCAAATAGTTGCTCTGCATGGCATCTATCTTGCTCAGATGAAAATGGATCTTGTCCGAAGGAAGATACCCAGGTGAGAGAAGACCCCAGTTCCTGCTCATACATGTGTGCTGCCTCAGAAGCATCAGCCATCAACTCAATTGGGATTCTAGAGGGGCAGCCAGCTGCTGCAAGTTGGTTCGGTATCCCTCTGCCTAAAATTCAATTTGATATTTACATAGTAAATGAGTCAGTTCAATATGTTACATGCTATTGCTTAATATCATACCTGGTATTCTATGGGCCTTCCAGGACTGTACGACTCTGCCCAATCCAATTTGGCTCACTTGACATACCAGGTTGGACACACACAATTTTGTTGTATTATCCTCCAAACTCAGCATCTCTTGGTCCTGAAGGTGAACCAATACTCTTTTAAGTGGATAGTTCACTCGGTTATTGACCTCTGGCCAGATTCTTTCCACACGAAGATTCTGTTCAAAATAAAAACATTTTATGTCATACACACAAAGTCAGCCCACTATGCTCTACACCAGGTCTAAACCCCCCCCCCGTCCTCCCTAAATTTGTGCCACCCCCCCCCCCTGAAATCCCCATTTCTTATCCCACACCCCCCCCCTCCCCCCCCCCCCCCCCCTCCCCCCGCTCCCCCCCCCCCTCGGGAACACCCAACCCCCCCCCAATCCCGTCCCCCCCCCCCCCCCTTATCGCCCACTCCCCCCACCAATGAGACCAACAGGACTTGGAATAGGGCTTCCTAATGTGTTCTGCCCAGAATGCATATGCCCTGCGGACGACCTGGCGATAAGCAGTGTAACGGATTGCCTGGAGACAGTATTTTACCATTACAATTCAGTTTAATGAATTTACAGTATGATGCAAAAAGCTTACTCGTGTATTATGGCTATAAAGAGGACCAAACTCCTGCCTGAAGGTAAGGTATGTCTATCTGAAGCACTTATGGGTTTAGGCAGCATCCTCAAAACCAGGATGTAAGGTTAAGCAAGGAATGGTTGGGGGCTGTGGATTGATGCCCTCCACCAGGGCCCAGTGAGGCACCAACCTCCTGTTGACAACACATGCTCTCCTCAGCACTGCCATTGGCTGGCATATTCCACACAAACACCTGTCACAATTGGCAATAGTGAGGGAGTGTGTACATTTAACAACTTCATGCGTTATTGTGTCACCAAGTCATGCCGCAACTACACACTTGGAAAACTATAGAGTGGGTTATTTGTGTGAAAAGCGTAAAGACAATTATCAATTGACCACCAAACCAGTCAACAATGGATCTTAACAGTCATCGACTCATTGGCTCAATATTACTGTGATAAAACAAAATGCCATTGCCAATGACATTTAGATTCTGGGTAGCAATACCCTATCCAGTTAATATAATACATCCATGGTCTCTACTCCCAACCCAACCGTTTGGAATAGATAAACGGCGATATGTCTTTCAACGCCCGATAAGAGTCTCGCGTTAACGCAGAATGAAATAAAGAATAAAGAATGAAAACTTTTTAATTCTTCATTCCCAAAAAAAAATAATGACACCCACGCCCTCACATGTGGGCACAGTCCTGTGTGGCACTCCCCCGCCACAAGCTACTTGAAGATTTTGAATGTGATCATGTACTTGAAATACTTACCTCAACTTTGTTATTGTAGTCAAAGGGCTTGGAAATGGCAGCCACATAGATACCCGCTTTGGGTTTCTTTTTCGATGACCTCCATTTCTCTGTGTCAATCTGGTGGGCCTTTAAAAATGTGGCAGTTTAACATTCGTAAAAATATCAACATATGCCTCATGGGCTATAATAATGATGTAATCATGTCTTGCCTTTCTTTTGGTAAGACGCTCGGTGTCAGCATATTCACGGAGTAGGCCCTGATGGAGTGTTTGGTACTCAATTATGAAATCATCAAGGCGTGACAGGCGTCTCATGAATCTGATGTGTTTAAGGTCCCATTGGCTCTTTTCCATGATCCCCTGTGTTTTGTTGTCTTGTGTGATGTTCTACGAAAAAACAGGACATGTATTGTGGTGGCTGCATGCCTAATTTGATGTTTAAAGGGTACAATAAGGACTGTTTTGGTATAAAACAATCTTGCTATTTGTGCGTAAATGATATGGTGGCTCAGTGGAGCAGCATGGAACTAAAAATCACAGCGACCTCTCTGACGCTGACCACTCAAAGCTCACATTCGCACAAATGGCAAGTCTTTTACAGAAAGGTACTTCAATGCCCCTTTAAAGGCCAATATTCAGTAGAACACAATGATATGACACCTGTCTGTCCAACTTTGACAGTTTCAAATATTATCTCCATGCCTTCCAAGATCACCTGAAGGGATGGATGTTTTTGTGAGTCATCCATTCTAACATACAATGTTAAATAGATGAATGTTCCAAAATTGGCAAATTACTCACCTAACAGCATTCCTGACCAAAGGGGTGCCTGGGGCAACCAGTAGAGCTCCAATGACGTGATCAGGTCCGGTGCATAATATGCGTTTACATTGCCGATATCGTCCAAGGGTGCACAATCAATTGTCGCTTTAAAATGTTTCGAGAATGATGTTGGGCCCACATCAGTCTAAGGAATCAAGTCAAAAGTTACAAGTCGTCTCCGTCCACATACAATTGACACAGAACTCCCGTCCCACCTCAAAGTTGTCAGCTTGGTCATCAGCCACAGCTTCAAAAGTGCACAAACGGTGCTGCAACTGCTTGAAATGGTATTTGACATAATGGGCTGATTTTGGGCTCCCGAAGACTGTGACAATATTTGTCAATATGGCATCCATTTCTTGTAAGGATGTTGCTGATGCAAGAAGGCCAATTGAACGCATTGCCAGTTTATAGTTCGTTGGTACACTATAAGAAAGGAGGAAAAACACTGTTAAAAGAAAGTTGTTTGGTATCCGGAATTACTTATGAATGTGAGACGCCATAGGCTGGTTTAGGTAATGTGGAACAGTCATTTCACAAAAGAGAATACATTCCTAAGCTTTATATCAAAATGCTAGGCCTAGTTCAAATCAAGCCTCATGTCCTACACTTGTGGAGATGACCACACGGTCATGGGGTTAATAGATCAATAGTTCACTTTGGAGAGACCCAAGAGGGAAAATGCAGTTAGAAGTTTGTTGATTGAGTATGTTTGGCGCCCTAGGCCCGGGAGAGATGCTGTTGAGTGCGGCGCTTGCTCGCGCGCATAATCCCCCCCGGGGCCTAGGCACTGGTGACGGCAGAGGCAGTAGGCAAGCACGCTTCGATGAGAGAAGGAGGAGGTGGGGCGGCGGAGGCTTTGCAAAATTCAGAAGGCTGGGAAGTGGGCGTCTCCGGCTTTTAACTTGCTGTCCTGGTGGTTATTGGTGGATTAGATGTGGGCGTTTTGCTGGTGTAATGAGTAGAGGATGAGCAGGCTTGTAGATCTGGCAGCAGTGGCCGGGTCTACCACAGTGAACTTTCGCGAAGAGCTTCATTTCACTTTGGAGAGACCCAAGAGGGAAAATGCAGTTAGAAGTTTGTTGATTGAGTATGTTTGGCGCCCTAGGCCCGGGAGAGATGCTGTTGAGTGCGGCGCTTGCTCGCGCGCATAATCCCCAAAAACGGGCAGAGTTATCTTTGCGCGCCGGGACGTGAGCGCTCGCTTCACGATCAAACCGGACGCTGCCTGGGACGTGAGCGCTCGCATCACGATCGATACCAGACGCTGTAGCAGAGTTGTCTTTAAGCGCCGGGACGTGAGCGCTCGCATCACGATTTAACCGGACGCTGCCTGGGACGTGAGCGCTCGCATCACGATCGATACCAGACGCTGTAGCGTAGCAGAGTTATCTTTGAGCGCCGGGACGTGAGCGCTCGCTTCACGATCAACCGGACGCTGCCTGGGACGTGAGCGCTCGCATCACGATCACCGGACGCTGTCTGGGACGTGAGCGCTCGCATCACGATCGATACCAGACGCTGTAGCAGAGTTATCTTTAAGCGCCGGGACGTGTGCGCTCGCATCACGATCAACCGGACGCTGCCTGGGACGTGAGCGCTCGCATCACGATCGGTACCAGACGCTGCAGCAGAGTTATCTTTAAGCGCCGGGACGTGAGCGCTCGCATCACGATCAACCGGACGCTGTCTGGGACGTGAGCGCTCGCATCACGATCGATACCAGACGCTGTAGCAGAGTTATCTTTAAGCGCCGGGACGTGAGCGCTCGCATCACGATCAACCGGACGCGGTCTGGGACGTGAGCGCTCGCATCACGATCGGTACCAGACGTTGCAGTGGAGTTATCTTTAAGCGCCGGGACGTGTGCGCTCGCATCACGATCAACCGGACGCTGTCTGGGACGTGAGCGCTCGCATCACGATCGGTACCAGACGCTGTGCAGAGTTATCTTTAAAGTGCGTGCCGCCACCAGAAATCTTATTGGTTCACTTACTTGCTTTGTATTGCTTTGCTGGGAGCTTACGAGGAAGCCAGTAGACGTTGTGCAGCCAGGATAGCGGACGCGTCTGGCCTGATGTAGGTGGAGAAAGCCGAAGAGGACCAGCGCCCCAGCTGTTGCAGAGAGGTGTGGGGGAACCCCAGCGAGGCCGCGCGCGTGGCAGCGCCTATCCTGAAGGAGTGGGCTGTATGGAGCTGGGGAGACAATTTACAGAGGAGCAGTAGGGATCTTAGTCGAGCTCTGAACCAGGTTGCTGTCATGGGAAGAATGTCTGGAGTGAGAAATAGAGGTCCGTTAAGATCTCCTTTTTGCAGCGGAGGCGAGTGTAACGCATAAGGATTTGTAGGGGCAGAGAGATGTGTCCGAGCGAGCTATTACTATATTGCAGGCTCCTTTGATTTTTGAATGTTTGAGACGGAGGTTGAAATGGTCGGGGGACATTATGTTGGGTGAAAAAGAGCGACCTTTGTGTAATGCTTCCACTACGTCGAGATTATCACGCATGACAGAGAATCTCTTTCTCTGCCACGCGTGATTCCACAGCGTGCAGGCCACGACCACTGGGAATGTCACGTGTAGGGCAGAGGAGATGCTCCGGTGGAAAGTAGCGGCCACGCTCGGCAACCAATGGTCCTGGAAGAATCCCCCAAAACCCACGGAAGGGGCACGTCCGTGTAGAAGCGGAGACCTGTAGGGGCAGAGACATACCGGAGAGGGCCATTGATGTTGCAGGCGCCCTTACGCTTAGAATCTTGGGTCGGAGAGTAGATAATCAGGATAGTAGGATGGTCGGGAAGCCGCGTCTCGGACCGCATGAAGGTTGAGTGAGCAGTAGTGAACGCTTATGCAGAGAAGCCATAGAAGGAGAGCAGGAAGATGCTGCGAGGAGGGCAGACATGTACTTGGAAGGTGAGCCGGAGTTCAGCGCCGCTGCAGGATGGGCAGCATGATGGGGAGCCTGCGATCAGAAAGTGAAGAATACAGGTATGGATGCCTTTGATTAGGAGTCCGATTGACGGCCCAGCGCAGCTACTCGGCCAGCTGCATCTGATAGAAGCAGAAGATTAAGTAGAGAGATGAAGCATGACCGCCGAAGCGACCCTGGGAGCAAAGGTGCGAGTCCAGCGCAGCGCGGCATACTCAGCCGGGCTGCATCCATTAGAAGCAGGATAAGCTTCTGAGAGAGTGGGTTGCAGCAGTAGCAGTAGCAGCAGCGGCAGCAGCAGCAACCTCAGATAATAACGGCAATAGTCCTGTATCAAGCCGCGACAGTAGCAGCAGCAGCAGCGTCCTTAGAAAATAACAGTAATAATCCTGTATCAAAGCCACAGCAGTAGAATGTTGTAGTAGCTGTTCAGTGTTCCAGTAAAAGAGATGCAAGTGAAGAGAGATGGCAAGGTAAATGAAGCAGCAGCAGCAGTAGTAGCAGCAGTATGCAGCAGCAGCAGCAGTAAGCAGCAGCAGCAGCAGCAGCTGCAGCATCCGTAGATAATAACAGCAATAATCCTGTATCGAAGCCAGAGCAGTAGAATATTGTTGTAGCTGTTTAGTGTTTCAGTAAAAGAGATGCGAAGTGAAGAGAGATGTCAAAGTACATGAAGCAGCAGATGCAGTATGAAGCAGTAGCAGCAGTAGCGGTAGCAGTATGAAG